TGTTCACCTCTCCAAGATGCTCCTTTCAGCCTATTAAGGGGAGAGTAACTAATCAGAAACAGGAAATTACAAGTAACCATTAACAACAGTTGCTATCGATTGCAGAAGTGTTTGCTGTTTTACCTTATGGATAAGGCTTTGGTGTTTGAAACGATTAGAGAACAATAACATTCATCCAGCTGACGTAACGTACGTCTTGGATACTATTGTACAAGTCACTAAAGTGTATCCAAGACAATGACACATATATAATGTTTCGTGATGTATTCGCTTGCCTTCGAAATCAAGGCTCACAAGTTCGAACCCGGTCCCTTGAAAGACACTAGTTGCCTCCAATTCATTATGAAAAAATGTATAACGAAGCCAGTCAGTATAATGAAGTCAAGCATATACACCATTGAGAAATCATGAACAGCTTGAGAGCAATGATTCATACCGGCTAACAGTGTAATTCAAGATGGACGTTTTGGATGGCTTAAAGCTCATTAGCCGGATACACCCACTTGCCAATGATTAGTGTTTTTCCCACTAGGAATTAAACCAGATGGAGAGTGTCCTGGTATCTCAGTGGTAAGTACACCATTCACTGGAAAGAAGATACCTACACTTGATGAGTCAAAGGAAAGACGAAACGGTCGCCAATAGCAACAACAGAAAACGTTGAATTTGAAGAGACAGAAAAGTAAGCAATTCATATTTGGAAGGAATGAAGGAAGGAAAGGTAACTGCCGATCAGAAGAAGAGCTACCTAGTCAAACTCCGAAGTAGATGTGACCTAAATTTTTGCAAGAACTGGAGAGGAATCATCCTCCTGTCTACAGCAACACAAATATTAAACCATATCATCCTGGAGAGACTAAAGGAATGCTCTCGATTCAAAATTACGACCAGAACAGGTTGATTGGCTGGCTTCACCAGAAACAAATCATGTAACCATCAAATTACAACGTTACGCTACTCATCATCATATAAAAGAGAATACAATTCCAGTCAACTCCCTACCTAAACTTCATCCACTTTGAAAAGGTATTCGATAGCGTCAACCGGGAAGTACTTTGGCACACAACTGCTTCATTACTACGGTTTTAGTACCACAAACCTTTATCAATCACATTCAAAAACCATATGAAGACGCCATATGTCTAGTGATTGATAATGGAGGGGTCAGTGATGCCTTTGAAGTGAAGTAAAGTGAAGTGAAGTGGAGACAGGAAGGAGTGAGACAAGGTTGCCAACTACTATCACTCATGATCTTCCTCATTGTGGTCGACTACATTAGAGTGGACTGGATCATGCAAGAAACAACTGTGAGGAACGAGAAGATGGTCATACACTCGCTGTTTGAGGGATGAGAGGACCGTAGAAGATTCGCATTTCGTCGGTGATGATTTATGTCTAATGTGTGGTATCGCACAAAGTCGAAGATGTACAGTCGAGAACTAACAAGTTGGAAGGAGAGGAGAGGTGAGGCAGTGAAGTCACGACTTCCTTCAGGTGAAGGTGGAGGCTATGAAGATACCGAACCAACAACAACAAGCAGTGATCACTATGAATGAGAGAAATCTAAAGTAAGTTGTCTCTTTCACCTAACTACCTACCTACCTACCTACCTACCTACCTACCTAACAACCTAGGTGGATGAGGACGTCGAGGGTAGCATCGGAAAAGCAAGGTGAAGCAGGCGTTGATTAAATTGAAATCAATGTGGAGGGAGATCTACTTCCCTCCACTCTACTCAGCATAAACAACAAGATTGAGATTTTCAACACTAATCCAGTCACATCAGTGCTTGCTTGTATATGGTTGAGAGACTTGGCGCGTTAGGAAAAGCATTTTCTACAAACTACTGACACTCATCAACAGCTGGTGACTACGCTCACTTAATAATGAAGAGCAAATGGTCATTGGTGTTTACTCTATGTGAGTGAATAACAGTGATGTGTGTAGCCCAGAATTAGTCACATTTATACGGATATACTCTTCAATATCGCTCTATTTCAATCTAACGTGCATTGGAGACACAAATGTTGATTGAGACTACTGCTAGTTGTAGTAGTAGTATTGTTCAATTGGCTAGAATAGACTGTTTATTCACCATGTTAAGCAGTAAGACATATTGTAGGCTAACTGCACCATCTCAATCCTCCTTCCTCATTGTCTCCATTCTATTATTATTATTATTATTAGTCCCTTGGGTTCCTAGTGGAACATAGGGCTTCAGTAGCACGCCTCCAGTGACCTCTGTTCTCTGAGATCTTTTGAACCTGGTCCCACGACAGCCCAGTCTCCATTCTATTGCCTTGTAAATTGATTTGCTGATAGGAGATATGCCTTTCAGCTTAAACTATTACTCATTAATGCCTAGTTTTTATGCTGATTTCGATGATGATGTGACAAAACTACAAAGTGATAGCATAGTGTAACACAGAATCTCCCACATTGAATTTATCATACACTTTACAATAGGATATACACAAAACATTGGTAAACATGACTATCACTTCAGAAAAGAGTGTATAGGAGAAGAAGAAATCGCTTCGATGACTTCAACGATATGTCTTAACATAACAATGAAATGTTAATTTACGAGGATTTGTATAGATTGATTGATTTTTCAACATGATATTTCATCATCGACTGTGACATCAGTTGAAGGAATATTAGAAACCTGAACTCATCGTGAACAATTCACTCTGTGTTAATCTATGATAAAAATTGAAACCTACTCAACCGGTAGACAATTAGCTATACACCTATTGTTTGACGCCCTATATAAATAAGATCCATTTGGCTATTTAATCCTTAGTATTGGTCATAGCTGATGTCGAACTGAAGATCTATCACAATTGGAAATCAAGTGAATGTCTAAGACAGGACGATGATATGGCTCATAAACGATGACAGTTCCGTAGATGCATACACACACACAGAGAGATTATCATCATCTTAACGCTATCCCCAATCTCACCATATTCTCATTCGTCCTTTCTCTCTTTTAATACTTTATATCTCTTTCGAGGACACTGAGGGAATAGTTATCATGATGTCTTCAAGAACATTGAAGGCTCACTCTCATGCAGTGGGAACCGAACCAATCTCCTCCTGCAGGATCAAAATCATGACAGCGACCTTCAACTCAAAAGGAAGGAAAGTCACAAGCATACAATGCTACGCTACACCGTGCACTTACAAATAATGCACATCAAGAGAAGAAGAAGGAATTGTACAGACAACTGCAATCAGTACTGGAAAAGACTTCAATCCAGTTGCCGACGGCGACATCAAAATTCTAATAGGCGACATGAATGCAAAACTCGGAGCACACAATACAGAACTCTTTGCAGAATTCTGCACATTCAACGATTTGGTGATTGCACGCAAGCCAATGTGTACAAACACACAAGGATATTCACAAAGCAAGCAACATGGATTCCATTTCACAAGACAACAAACACATTACACCAAAAATCACATCCACTTCATCTCTATCTCAAGAAAGCAGAGATGTAACCAGCACACTGGACACAACATCAACAAAAGGAGCAGATGTACGTTCACACCAAAATCAAGTTGAAAGTCTTCACAAAAGTTGGTGATAGACCACGCTTCAAGTTCAACACCAACAACAACAACAGAAACTCACTGATAGACGAAACTACAAACAACATCACCACATCGTCAGCCATCAAAACAAAATCGGAGACATTCAGCAACATCCATGAACAAACCTGTCTGCATGAACACTGCAACTCTTTCAAAGCTATGTGGGAAGAAACCTGCATAACCGTACTACCAAGGAAGAGGAAACTAATACAAGAGAGGAAGATGGTGAACCAGAAGATGAACCAGTGTACTACACTGCAATGCAGTTCAGGGATGAACAAAGAAAAGACCAACTGAGTACAATCTATAAAACACTACACTCCACTCCACTGGACAAAGAAGTGAAGAAGAGTGCGTGCAAACACAAAAGACACTTCTACAACACACTTGCAATTAAAGCACAACAGGTTGCTGTGCTGGTAGGAGAGACCTGACAACGCTATATCAAATAACCAGGTTACTATCTAGGAGGGAATAGATCAACCCAGACGAAACCAATGAAAGCTAATGAAGGAAAGCTAGTTACCAAAGAGAAGGAACAAGGGGAACAATGGGCTGATCACTTCAAAAAAAACTCTTGAATCGACCAACACCATCATCTGCAACTCGTCCAGAAGCACCACCAACAGCCACAGAATTATCAGGATAAAATCCCGAGTCCTGAACGCCATATAGCTGCTGAAATTCGGGCACGCAGCAGGATCAGATAGAATTCCTTCAGAAGCATTGAAACCAGACACACGGAAACAACAGCGGACACACTCACACCACTATTATGTAAGTTTTTGTAAGGAAGGAAAGGTACCTGCCTATTGTTTGAAAGAAGGGCTACCTTGCAGTACTCTCAAAGCAGAAAGACCTAAATCTTTCCACGAGACAAATAATAATATTTCTCCTGACAAAATTTTATTTCTTTCTTCATCTTCTACTTCACTGCCTTGTTTACTTGATATATTGACATAAGCTGTAGTTACTCGGACCGTTACGCAGTAATCTCTGGTCCTATGTTGATCTGGATGAATGGATGGATGGATAGACGATGTCAAAACTACTTAGCAGGATAGATAGGATGTTGTGATTATTATTATTATTATTATTATTATTATTATTATTATTAGTTATTCATCGTAGACTGACATTGATTGGAAGAACAAAGGAAACCTGGGAGCACTGGATAGCTGTTTCGTCCGACTAGTATGGGACTCCTCAGCAGTGCGCACCCACGACCACACCCCCGGGGATTGAAACCCGCGACCTTCAGGTTCCGCGGCCAGCGCGTTACAATTGAGCCGCTGGGTTAGAATCCAATGCTCCATCTTTCCAACTTCTGTTAGCTCACGATATTATTATCATTATTATTATTAATAACAAAGGAAATAAATAGTGAGATAACTTACTCTCCAGATTTCTCTGGATAAAATTCTTGAGCAGTACAATTGATAATTTCATTTAAGTCCATTTCTTTCTGACTGATAACTTTTTTGTTATCATCATTAGACATCACCGATGAAGGTAAAGAATCGTGTTGTCTTTCACTACCATTAACTAAATGGTCATGATGATAACTGTCTATGGTTGTTGTTGTTGTTGTTGTTGTTGCCGGTGACGATGGCGGTGCTGGTGCCGGTGTCGTCAACGATGGTATAACTGACTTTTGTGATGTCGTATCAATCGAATCACCAGTAGTAGTAGTAGTAGTAGTAGTAGTAGAAGTATCATTAATAGGAGTAATATGCTTCGATGGTGATGATAATTCAGTTACACCATTATCTACTATTGTCGTTGAAATTCCATTTTTTGAGGGTAATGTATACAAATTCATAGTGATATCACATAAATCATCTGGTATAATTATTCTGTAAGGAAGAGATCAAAAATTAGGAGAAAAGAAAAAGAAGACACTTAAGTAAAACATCATGAACTGCCAACATTTAGGAGATGGTAAGGATAGAGGAAAAAAATGTTTCATCCGAGTACAAGACACACCTCAGCAACATCACCTATGACCCTATCAGGAAATGTACTGAAGACTTTCACGTAGATTATAACTTTAAAAATAAAATTTCTCAAAAAACCATAAAGAAAATTGGTAGTTATCAAGAATTTCGTCGTTGAATAGTGATTAAATCTTGTCAACCGACTTAATTTTCCAGTAAAATATACAACTTCAGTAGAACGTCACTATTCTACTGTTTTCTCTGCTGTGTGGCTTAATCTGTCTCCATAACTACCCACAAACTTTCATTTCTTCTCCACACACCATCTCCTCCTCCACGTCACCTTCAGCTAGGACGCCCAACTCGTCGTTTCCTAACCGCATTCCACTCAACCGCCTGGTGTGTGATGTCCCCAGTCGGCCTTCTCAGCGTATACCCAATCCATCTCCACTCTCTTCTTCTGCATACTTTTTGCGTGATAGGTTCTCACTTCGTTGGTTCGTCGACAGTGTTCCTCCTTGATTATACTTTCTGGTCATCTGATCTTCAGTATCCAACCCGTGTAGGCAGCTTTTGACGAATGTCTGTAGTTTGATGGAAGTGCTTTGCATAACACGCCAAGTTTCAGAACCATGACAGAACAGCACTAACTTGACATTCGTCTTCAAAATCCGGATCTTCTTCACACTTTATGCTGACTGCAGGACAGTACACTACAGTACAGTACATCTCCACACTCATTTCACATTAATGAAAACCTCTCTTGCTGTCTTTCCCATCATCGTTTTCACATACTCGTATGTGCCACCCACCTGTACTTCAAACAATCCTCCATGCATACGTACGTGAAACAGACTACTCATTGGTGCATGTTGTTCATGCTGTTGTTTTTCGTTGGTTACCTTCATCAACTCCGTCTTCTCCACATCCAATTGAAGTCCTGTTTTCGCTGCCCTGCCTCTTCTGTCAACTTGTCAGTTTTCACCTGTACATCTTCGAGTTTGTGCGACATAAGACATAAACCATCACCCGAACGAAATCCAAATCTATAATCAACTATTTTCATCGGCCCAACGTATGCCCATCTTCTCGCTCTTCATGGTTCGCTGTATGATCCAGTCCACCACAGTTAGGAAGATCATGAGCGATAGTAGGCAGCCTTGTCTTACTCTTGTCTTCATTCCCAGTGATCAAGTATACTGGTTCATTACGCTTGAATGCTTCAAGTTGACCAGTTAAACGCTTAAGTCTCCAAATTCATTATCATAATCACCAAGAATTAGTACTTCCTTAAAGTTCTACATATACCTTACTAATGGTGAATGCTCACAATGACTGTATGCAGGTATCGTAAAGCTTCTTGCTGTATAACAACTAATCAATGAAGTCATTGACTGTTGAACTGAGATCAATATCTGTCTGTCTATCTACATAACTTTCGCTTATCTCTCAATCTGCTGATAATAGTTTAAGCAGGTAGGTGGATAGTTTGTGTTGAGAAGGAAAACGCTTTGCTTTGAGTCCCCCTCTAACCCTATAACAGTTTTCTGCTTGTATCATTAAAGTTCTAGAATATAAAATGAGAATAACCCTCAAGGCAAGATGATTGGGAGTAACATAGAAAAGCTAATCCACATGTAGAGTCAAGCATTCCACTTACGTTTCACAACCACATTAGACTAACTAATCCATCAGTGAATACAGTGCCTAACTCTTATCACCAAGGCGTATCTCCATCATCAAGGAGACGTTATCGTTGATCTATTTTGGCTTGGATTATATACATTGATCAATCATTTCATCTTGCCGAATCTTGAATGCTAACTGATGATTTGGAAATGTGATGAGGAAATATAAGAGGCTCATTTTTACTGTGTCTAAGTTCAGGTAAATTGAAGTTTTCACAATTCGACAAGTTGTTCTAACTAGGTGAAGTTCGTACCATCTTACTTAGTTCTATCTAGTCAGATACTCACCAACCAATTACATGTTCATATAAATAGACCTCATTAGATGGAACAAAGTTCGAATCCATAATTCACTTGTTTTCAAAGTCAAGTGTAGTTAAATCAATAAAGCCACAGCTTTACAAAATGCCTTTAATGAACACTTACACTAATCGGAATTTTTCAAAGCATAAATTTAAACTGAGACGTATTGTTACTATTTGGTCTTTTGAGTTCCTAGTAGAACATAAAGCTTCAGTAGAACGTCGTCATTTCACTCTCTTCTAAGCAGTTCTCTGCTTTAACAAGACTCTACGACCTTCCAGAAGTTTTCTTTTATTCCTCACACCATCTCCTCCATGTCATCCTCAGCTGGGACACTAAACCCATCCCTTCCCCCTAGAGTTCCACGGCCTGGACTGGCACGTGATGTCCCCCAATCGGTCTTCTCAGTGTATGTCCAATCAGATCCATCTCCACTTTCCTCTACTGCATATTTGTTGAGCGATATGTTCTCTGTTGGTTAATTGCCAGCCACCACTGTAACTCCCTCCTTTGCTTATTCTTTCTGGCCATCTCATCTGCACTGATCTTCAGTATCGAGTGAGCGTAGGCAACACCTTTTGATAAATGCCTGTAGTTTGTCAGAAATGCTTTTCGTAACGCGCCAAGTTTCTGACTTGACTGGGTTGATGCTGATAATCTGGTTCTTGTGGTTTTTACTGAGTGCAGTACAGGTTAATGAAAGCCTATCTTGCTGTCTTTTCGATGTTGGCTTTGACATCCTCATCTGTGATGCTGCTGCTGCCTGTAGTTGAAAGGATACTGTCTTTATAGCCAGTGGTCAATATATCTATTGGATGAGCCATGACTTTAATGACCCAGTAGCTTAGTAGATAATGCTCGGGATGTTAGAATCAACAGCTTCCAGGTTCGAGCCCATATGCTAATGGAGACCTATCAATTCGATCCGATCAACCTTAGAATTATACAAGTAACACTATAACTGAATTTATAGTCTATAAAAGATACCTTCGAAGTAAAAACAAACAACTCATTACCAAAAGAAAGAGAGAGGGAGAGTGAAAAAAAAAGAAGTGTTTTCTCAATTTCATCAAATTTATACCAATCACATCATGTTTTATCAGAACAACAATACCCATGAGACTCTTTATGGTATCGTTTAGTTGAAACAGTCCTCTTTATAATCTCATCAACCAACCTCTGAATACTAAATACTTACTCGTTCATCACATTTGACCTTGTTTGTTATCAACAGTTGACCTTGACAAAGAAGTACAAAGTCCAATATTTTGATCGTTTAATACTAAATTAGTTTAGAAGTAATATTCATCATGGACTGATATCAGTTGGGGAAGCATTGAAATTCTGGGAGTACTGGACAGCTGTTTCATCCAACTAGTATGGGACTCCTCAGCAGTACTCACTCACGACCTTCAGGTTTCACGGCGAACGCGTTAACCATTCAGTCAATGGGTCAGTCTGTTTCCAGTGGTTGACAATTTCCAACTTCTGTCAATTCACGACATAGCGTGACTGTCACCCAACGTCTTCCTTCGGTTAGCATCCACTTCACTTCTGACTGGTTGACCCTACAGGTTACGGCTTCTCATTAGAACTTCCTGACATCCATCTGGAAACAAGTCACTAATGAACACGATGAGGTAATGTATTTTGAGATGAATGGGGACGAAACAGCTGTCCAGTACTCCCAGATTCTCAATGGTTCCCCCAACTAATGTCAGCCCATGATGAATACTACTTCTAAATTAAAAAAATCCCTATTCATCTCAAAAATACACTAAATTAGTTGTTATACGAATAACTATAGACTATGGGCATAAAAACGGTGATTCGATAAACAATCTCTCTATCAATAATTATCTCACTATGTCACATATTATGCTCAGCTGTCGAACTGAATACGTGGAACTAATAGATTATTAACTAAAGTTTACTATTTTTTTCAAAATGGTTCAGTAATGAACCAGATGGTTAGAATGAATCATCGAGGAGAACATCAATTCGCGTATGAATGCATATTACGGCATAATGAATTATTATTACTATTATTTGTCCTTTGGGTTCCTAGTGGAACATACAGCTTCAGTTGAACGTCTCTATTGTACTCTCTTCTCGGCAATCATTTGAACCTGAATGCACGACTGCTAAGAAGCTCTCATTTCTTCCTCAAACACCATCTCCTCCTCCATGTCACCCTCACCTCTCACGCCCAACTCGTCGTTTCCCATCTACGTTCCACTCGAGACACTGGCCTGGCACGTGATGTCACCAGTCGGCCTTCTCAGTGTATGCTCAATCCATCTCCACTTCCTTCCAGTGCATATTCGTTGAGTGATAAGTTCTTATGTAGTTTGTTGCCAGCCAGAGTAAGTTACTTGTTGCTGATTCTTTCTGGCTATCTGATCTTCAGTATCCAGCCCGTGTAGGCAGCTTTTGATGAATATCTGTAGTTTGCTTCCTGGAAGTGCTTTTTGTAACACAACGAGTTTCACAACCATGACAGAACAGCACTAACTTGACATTCGTCTTCAAAATCCGGATCTTCTTCACACTTTATGCTGACTGCAGGACAGTACACTACAGTACAGTACATCTCCACACTCATTTCACATTAATGAAAACCTCTCTTGCTGTCTTTCCCATCATCGTTTTCACATACTCGTATGTGCCACCCACCTGTATTTCAAAAAATCCTCCCTGCATACGTACGTGAAACAGACTACTTCTTTTAGGTTTCTCAAGTGCATGCTCATTGATGCATGTTGTTCATGCTGTTCTTCGTTGGGTATTTTCATCACATCCGTCTTCTCCACATCCAATTGAAGTCCTGTTTTCGCTGCCCTGCCTCTTCTGTCAACTTGTCACTTTTCACCTGTACATCTTTGAGTTTGTGAGACATAAGACATAAATCATCATCGGGGCGAAATCCAAATCTTCTAGGGTCTTTTCATCGGTCTAGTGTATGCCCATCTTCTCGTTCCTCATAGTTTCTTGCCTGATCCAGTCCACCACAGTGAGGAAGATTATCCCTCATACTAGGCGGCAACCTTTTCTTACTCCTGTCTTCACTTCACTTCAAGGGCATCACTGAGCTTGACATAGTGAATTGCTTAGCACGTGGCGTCTTCATATAGCTGTTTCATGAGGTTGATAAAGACTAGTGGCACTCCGTAGTGTTGAAGCAACTGCCAAATTTCTTCTCGATCGACGTTGTTCAAGGACTTTTCAAAGTCGATGAAGTTGAGGTAGAGGGTTCACTGCCATTCTATACCCTGTTCTATGATGATGTGTAGCGTTGCAATTCGATCCGCACATGATTTGTACTTCCTGAAACCAGCCACCCTGTTCTGGTCATAATTTTGAATCCAGTGGTTCGTTCAATCTCTACAGGATGATGCGGCTTAATATTATGCTTGCTTTGGGTGGACAGGAGCATGATTCCACTCCAGTTCTTGCAAAGATTTAAGAAGCCCTTCTTCGGTAGTTTGACACTATAATCAATAGTATCATAGTGAAAACAAATGAACAAAACAGAGGAAGAGAAAGAGAGAGAGTAAGCGATCGCATAGACACGTCATCAACATACTGCATAACAGTCCACACCTCACATACCAGCACATCAAGTAACCAGGCATTAAAAAAGTAGTAAACGAGAGAATGAGAAGATGGTAATATGTGAAGATATATCTGCGCCACTGACATCGGTTCTCAGCCATACACACGATCATATAGAGTCTCCAATGACTGGTGATCTCTCTTGTCCCGCGAACCTCAACCGGCAAGTCTGTATCAACCCCTTCATAATTCAAACCAACAGTGATGTTTCAATCTTTTTGGCATCTGAATCCACTTCAGTCAAAATTATGCAACAAAGTAGACGGTGGATAGGCATGCGTAACAACACATGTCCCAGCTAATCATCTCAACTGATGAAGGTATACACAACCGCCTCATCTTCTCCCTAAAACTTTACACACACGTAAAAAATGTTTGTGTGATTAAGATTACCCATTGATAGATAGTGAAATTGGCATGCATAACACAGGCCATCATGAATCCTTTTCCAACCAAATCCATCATTCCCCCCTCCCCATCATAGCACATCGAGATGGTTGGCGATGGTTCGGCAATGTGCACTGTATGTCTAAGCCATCTCAGACGACTAACTTGTTAATCAACTTCCCTGTCTTGTCCAATAGTTTTCACCAGATATCAACATTGTCCACACAGTGATTTCACTAATGAAGTTAACTAGATGACCTTTCAAGGAGTAGGTCAATCCCTGTGAAGTACGACATACTTAAGGTTATGTCCATTAGTATGCGTCTATGATGTAGTTAATAAGTAAAGGATAATATACACTTCTCAGAATTGAAAGAAACTGATGAACAAAAGGAAAATAAACAGACAGGCAGTACATACATAATAAGAAGAGGAATATACAAAAGGAGAACACTTACTCATCTCGAATTCCATTATCATCTGGATCGTCTTCCTCATCTTCAAGATCTTCTTCACCTTCAGATGATCCATGAATACGAAAACCAAATTCACTAATTCGATCACTAAGAGATTCCTGAAGGGAATTATCATATAAAATAATCAAGATAATAAATCAATAACTAGGAGAGGAAACCAAAAAGGTAAACTTAATTGACACGAATAAAACTGTAATTGAATCGAAAGTTGAATGATGAATGTATGAAGATATCTCAACACTCCAATTTCAATTCATACATATCAGAATCGGAGATTACTTACTATCTATCCATCCATCCCAAATCAACATAGAACCAGGCATTACCGCATAATGGTACGAGTTACCACACCTCATATCACTACATCAAGTAAACAAGGCAGTGAAATGGAAGATACAGAAAAGAAACCTCCGTCAAAGTATGAAAAGAGAGAAAAGAAGAATGAGAAAATGATGAGATTCGGTATGGTGATTAAGATGAGGATAATGTGTTTGGGGATACATCTGCACCACTAACATCGGTTGTCAGCCACATCGCCTACAGTTAATCTTCAATCACTGTTAGTTTGTCTTGTCTCGCCAACCCAAACTGGCTAGTCATACATTGATGTCATGTTTTAGTCAGGACATTTCGAGTCTTTTTCTAGCCTGAAGCTACTTCGTCGAACACTATGTGACGAGGCAATCGGTGACTAGGCATACGTAACACGTGTCCCATCTCAGTCGATGAAGGTTCATAACCTCGTCATATGACTTACCTCTTCTCCCTCTCTAAGACTCTGTACTTAACTTCTGCATTACTCATGTGGTGACATCATAGAATACGGTCTCTACTGTGAAGGCAACGGTGGCCAATCACCTGAAGCCTTCTCATCTCTTCCACCTTCAATGACCATGTTTCACAACTATACAGTAGAACAGAGTGGACTTCTGTGTAGTACACATTACCCTTAATAGACAAACGGATATCATAGCGGCGACACAGGTGGCGTAAGTTCGTAAAAGCCAACCAGCCAGCCAAACCTTCAGTATTCATGCAGAGATTTCATCGGCGACTGAGCTAATTGAGCAGGCTTGATCCTACTTAGCAGGTAAGTGAAGTGATCAACACACTTAACCATTACACTATCTATTGTTAGCTATGGCACCGTTGAAGACCAATTCTGGAGCAACAACTGGCTCCTATCACCAATTCAACGATCAGCAATCCTCATCAGTATAGAATGTTTCAAATAAGGCTATGGAATGCTGATTTTTTTTCGTTTTCATGAAACAGGAATCAGTCAGCATGTGACGAATGTTAATGTCAGGTGATTCGAATAATGCGATATCGTTAAGATTAGTCGACTCAGATGGCTTCGATAGGTACTACGCATGCAAAGCCACCGCCGCCTACCTCAAGGTTCCATACTAGAGGAAGTTGGATAAGTTTGGAAGAGGGTTCAAGTTGGCTAGACCAAGTCATGCCACCAGCCGATGAAGTTTCTGACTATTGACTTTAGCTGTGAAGGGAAATGTAGACTGCCTGAATGTTTTTGCTAACCCTTATCTTCAGATTGTTTCTCCTCTCACGCACAACTTTGTCCACTCTGCTATCCCCCTTCTTTTCTAGCCACCAGTTCTTTGTATACTACTGCGAAGTATATGTTGTGTTGTCTCAAGTCAATGGGTACTAAGCAAGACAAGCAAGTTGTTATTCATCGTAGACTGACATTAGTTGGAGGAACAAGGGAAACCTGGGGGCACTTGACAGCTGTTTCGTCCGACTAGTATAGGACTCCTCAGCAGCGCGCACCCACGACCTTCAGGTTCCGCGGCCAGTACGTTACCATTGAGCCAATGGGTCGGTGGGATCCAATGATCCAAATTTCCAACTTCGGTTAGCTCACGATATAGCGCAACCACCACCTAATGTCATCGCTGAGTAATTGTCCTCACGACCATCAGGCTTTGCACCCACCGGTCACGACTTCTCATTGCAACTTGGGGAATACTTCTCGAAACTAGTTCCGAATGAGCACCAGTTCAATTGAATTTTGAGGGAGTTGTGGGGATTTGAGGTCTGCCAACCCTAGACCCTCTTCAAACCGAATTCATCATTCCCCTCTTCCCTCCATCATAGTACATCGAGATGGTTAGTGATGGCTCCGTATGACTAACCTTCAGAATCTCATAGATCGACTTATCTGTCTTACCTAATATCTATCATCTGACCTCAAAAGTGACAGCAATACTACGAAGACACTTATAATCAATATAATATAACCCCTTTTAACAACTACGTCTCACAGTTGTACAACAGGATAGAATAGACTGTAGCACGTAACACACTCGTCTTTCGATAAACAGTTAGATATTTTACCCATCAGCGTCACAGGTGACGCAAGACAGACCATTTGTATCCAAGCTAAGATTTCGTGATAGATGGATACAAATCAGAACATACTACATGATAATTAATATTATTGTTATCACTTATTAACCTATGGGGTTTGATAAATTGTGTCTTAACTTCGCTGTTGTTAGAAAGCAGAAAGACTGTCTAACCGATATCAACTAGAAAAGAAAGTCAAAAAAACTTGAGCATATTTTACAACTGTTGTGTCATAAGGTTAAAAGATCCTAGCAATAAACATTCACAATCCTGCAAAAGATGAAAAGGATGAGAAGGCTTCAGGTGTTTGACCACCATTACCTTCGTCGTAGTATAGACCGTATTCCGTGGTGTCACCATGTGAATAATGCACAAGTCAGGAGTAGAGTTTTAGGTAGTAGAGGTAAGTCAGTTGACGAAGTTATGAAACTTTATCGATTGAAATGCCTGGTCTGGACACATGTTACATATGCCTAGTCACCGATCACCTCGTCACACAATCTTGGCCGAAGTAGGTCCAGACTGTAAAAAAGCCTGAGGTGGACAAACTATAACATGACACCAACCATGAAGTCTCTGACTGTCGGTTTGAGCCATGTGGGGCGAAGCAGACTAGGTGGTTGGGGTCCGCGGGACAAGAGGAACCAGTAATTAGAGACTGACTGTAGGTGATATGGCTGAGAACCGATGTCAGTGGCGCAGATCTATCCCCACACACATTATCCTCATCTTAACAACGCTATGCCGAATTTCACCATTTTGTCACTCTTCTTTTTTTTCTTCTCGTGCTTCGTATTTCTTTTGACTACATTCTCTTATCTTCATCTTTCACCTCACTACCTTTCTACTTGATATATTGATATGATGAGGTATGGCAACTCGAACCGTTACGCAGTAATGTATCGTAATACGTTGTTGCTGTTGTTGATGATGAAAGGATGAAATTTCAACCCATAACTTCTACTTTGATTGAGCTTGGTTGAGCTTCCATATCCCCATGACTTTCCTTACCATAAGAAATACACTAAGCTATAGTGGCAATCTGAGGTCGGAGACCCCCAGATGGTAGGTTTGGAGTAGTGTTTCCTGTGGATGAGCAAAAGCACCATATTGATAAAAAGGGTTAGCTTCACATCGAATTGCTCAATCTACACTGACTCCTCAAATCTGCCAGCTGTTCATGATGTTGTATTCTCATATGGGTGAGTGGTAGTAGAATCCAGAAAGTGCATTTCAACAGCTGGATATACCTGCATCTCACATCAGTTAGAAGTGTTTTTGCTTCCATTGAAGTTAAAACTGAGTACTCACCGCTTCAAACAGTGCCTGTACGATACAGCCTTGTATAGCAACAAGAAATGATCAGTAACAAAATAACAACTGATACCCATTGTAACCCTATTAGGGTACAAAAACATACATCCGTCTGATGAGTACCAAATAGGACGAAATACGCGCATTTTAAATCCCACTACCAGTCAGCCTCAAATCTCAAACAGCAGATAGTTATCGAGAGCGTACACTTTATCACATGTAATAAGTGTAATAATTTACAAGCTTGTTTTAACAAGAAACAACTCATGTTTATATTCATGTGATTGGTAAGTGTAGTGAATACAAATGAAAACAAATAAAGTATACATATAATAGGCATTATATCACGACATGCTAAATTATGACGTTATCACCATATCTATGTATGCATGCATACATGGATACATGCAAACAAAAGCCAACGTCATTAGGGTGATATTATTATTATTATTATTATTATTATTACTGGCATTAGACCTGTCATGTGGCACGGTTTTGACAGTGAACCACGCATTGATTCAACTTATTTTGACCAGTTGTATAATTTCTTTTTTCTTTCCATCTACCTTCCAATTTTAGCTAGTATCAATTTTGCATGAGCGGATTCAAACCAGCCACCACCATATTTCCGGCTTGATGTTCTATCAACTCAACTACAAGGTTTATATCTGGGAACCGTCCAAATTAGATAGAGCCGAAAACTCAATGATCACTAGTTTCAATCCGATTACGGTTCAGTATTACTACTCTCTGCCAAACCCCATAGCTGTTATCTCAGATAATCGAATGATAATCAACATGATGCTCTCTCACTCTCTCCCACTCTCTCTCTAATTCAGTTACATTTGGATTGGGATGAGAAGTTTGACTGGTGGGCAGCCAGTGTAAATACGATCAAGCGGTTAGTAACCAGTCACCAATTCACATGATAGTCAGGCAAGACCTTTGGTGATTGAAGTGAAATAAAATAGATCTGGTCAACAATCGGACCTCGTTGCGTAAAAGAATTTTCGGCTTAACCTTTTGACTTGTGTTTCATTAATCTCATGCATCTTGCCTAATCTCTCTTCAATAATTCGCCTTTATTCCTGCTGTGGTTTGGCATGTTAACATCTGGCAGAAGTGATTTTATCAGTGCGCGCTAAGATAAGAAAAAAACTCTTCTATGACACACTTGAAAGTGAAACAGAACAGGCTGGTTTGCTGATAGGAGAGACCTCACGACAACCATAACAAATAAATAGGTTACAATCTGGGAGGGGGAACACATCAACATAGATGAAACTAATGAAAGATAATCCAGGAGACCTGGTTACCAAAGACGAGAACCGAAAGTAAACCATAGGCTCGCCACTTGAAAAAACGCTTCAGTCGACCACCACTTGCAGTCCAACGACAAAACTACCAGTGAGCTGAAACACTCTGATAAAACCAGAAATTATGAAGTTATAAAGTTACTAAAACACAAGAAAACAGCAGGACCACATGGAATTCTGCCAGAAGCATTGAAAAACAGACTCAGAGACAACAGTGAACATGTTCACACCACTGTTGCAGAAAGTTTGCAAGGAAGAAATGAAAGGTACCTACCTATTGATTAGACGAAGGACTACCTTCTCAAATTCCCAAAGAAGGGAGATTTAAGTGTTTGCAAGAACTAGCTCGGAATCATCCTCCTGTCCCCACACCAATCAAAATATTAAACCACATCATCCTGGAGAGACTCAAAAATGCTCTGAATTCGAAGTTACGACGAGAACAGGTTGGCTGATTGGTTTCACGACAATCAAATCATGTGCAGATGAAATTGAAACGTTACGTTACGCTATGCGTCACCATAAAATGGAGCATACGATGCCAGTTAACTCTCTACCTCAACTTCATCCCCTTTGAGAAGACCTTCGATAGCGTCGATGGAGAAGTAATTTGGCAGGCAGCCGCTTCAACACTACACTTTCACTGCCACAAACCTTTATCAAGCTGATTGAACAGCAGGTATCTGGTATATGAGGATGCTATATGCGAAGTGATTCACAATGGCGGGCTCAGTGAAGCTTTTGAAGTAAAAACAGGAGTAAGACAAGGCTTCCCAACAACTATCACTGATGATGTCTAATGTCGAACAAACTCAAAGATGCACAGCCGAAAACCAACCAATTGACAGAAGAGGCAGCGGAAACAGGAATACCTTCAGGTGAACATAGAGAAGACAGTGGTGATGAAGATACCCAACCAACAACAACAACAACATGCACCAGCTTGATGAATATTTTGACTGAGAAGCAGGTACATCCAGTTGATGAGTCATAAAAACACCGAAATGCATATCATTATTATCTTATCCGATGACCTGAATTCATTCATCCTTTAAAATAAAAAAAGGAGAATTCATCGTACCGGATAACTACGATCCAAATACAACAGACCATCAGCTGCTAACAATTCCCATTCATTTGGATTATCATTATGACTATCAATACAAGCATATGGTGGAGATTTTGTTTACTTGATGTAGTCATATGAGCTATAGCAACCCAGACCATTACAGAGAAATGACTAGTTCTATGTTGATTTGGATCGATGGATCATGTTAGCTTGGGTCCGTATGACAACAGAAACTAATAAGTGGATACTCTAAGGCGATACATGAACCATGGTTGATGTTATCTGAATCGTCTTAGCGATTGACCGAATTGATCAGTCTCTACTGACATATGAGCTAGGATGTGAATGCTTCGATATTACCTATGTTTTAATTCTAGTAATGTTGAATAGTGTGGCTAGGCAATGAAATCCAGTTTGATGCGTATTTCATCTTATTTTGGACTCTGAAACTAAATTATCATTATCACTGGGAAGCAGTTACATCCAGCCGTCGATGCTGGTGGTGATGAAGCAACTGCCAAATTACTTCTCGATCGACGTTGTTCAAGGCCTTTTCAAAGTCGATAAAGTTGAGGTAGAGGATTGACTGCCATTCTATACTCTGTTCTATGATGATGCAAAGCGTTGCAATTTGGTCAGCATATGATTTGCACTTCCTGAATCCAGCCAACCTGTTCCGGTCGTAGTTTCGAATCCAGTGCATCCTTTAGTCTCTCGAGGATGATGTAGCTTAGTATTTTGCTTGCATTGGGTGGACAGGAGCATGATTCCGCACCAGTTCTTGCAAACACTGAGGTCTCTCTTCTTCGCGAGTTTGACAAGGTACCCCTTCTTACAATCAACCGACAGGTACCTTCCCTTCCTTCCACACCTTCTGCAGTAGTGGTGTGAGCATGTCCACTGTTGTCTCTGCGTCTGTTTTCAGTGCTTCTGGTGGGATTCCATCTGGTCCTGCTGCTTTCCCACATTTCAGTAGCCTTATAGCATTCAGGGCTTCGACTTTTGTTGGAGGATTTGTGTTCACTTGTAGTTCATTTGCTTTGTTTCTCTTCTTTAATAGTTAGATTTCCTTCATCATCCTTTATTCGTTATCCAATGGTATTAGTGCTTGTAGCATCAGTGATTGGACCGAATTGATCAGTCTCTACTAGCACATGGGCTAGTATGCGAGTGCCTCGATATTACTTTATTATATTAAGGATGTATCGTGGCTAGCATAGAAATCCAGGATGCGCATTTCGTCCTATTTGGGACTCACTGGTCGGCTGGATGTACCTGCTTCCCAGTGAGTGATGTTGTTCCGATCGGGATTAGGACTCGGCAGTGATCGCTTCAAACGCCAGTGCATTATCCACTACACCACTGAGCTACAATAGCCACTTCTTGTGCGACGAGTATAGTTTTTAGTATAAGGGTTTTTATATGATACCGTCGTTGATTGGACCGAATTGATCGGTTTCTATTAGCATATGTGCGGATGCCTCGATATTGCCAGCAATCTAGGCAGTATCGAAGCATCTGCATAGGAGCTCATATGCTAATAGAGACCGATCAATTCGGTCCAATCAATGACGGTATCATAAAAACATTTATACAATATCACTTTATATTTTAATTCTAGTAATGAAACCAAATGCGTCGACCGAGAGGTAATTTGGAAACTGCTTCACCATTACGGAATACCACAAACCTTTATCCGCCTCATTCAACAACTATGTGAAGATGCCACATGCCAAGTAATTCACAATGGGAAGCTCAGTGATGCTTCTGAAGTGAAGTGAAGACAGGAGTGAAACAAGGTTGCCTACTATCCCCCATGATATTCCTGTTTGTGGTGGACTGGATCATGCAGCAAACAGTAGGCAGCGAGAAGAGGGGGATACACTGGACTGCCGAGAAGAACCTAGGAGATTTGGATTTCGCCGATGACTTGTGCCTCATGTCACATAAACTTGAAGATCTACAGGTGAAAACTAACAAGTTGATAGAAGAGGCAGCGAAGACGGAACTTCAAGTGAATATAAGAGAAGACAGAGGTGTTGAAGATACCTCACCACCACCAACAACAACAAACTCTAATCACCATCAACGGGAGAAACTTAAAGGAAGTAACCTCCTTCACTTATCTAGGAAGTACTGTTTCAACTACAGGCGGCGGCGCAGACGAGGACGTCAAAGTCAGAATCGGAAAAGCAAGACAGGCTTTCATTAACCTGAAACCACTGTGGAGATCTTCTGCACTGCACTAAGCATGTGGAACAACATCCGGATTTTCAACACCAACCCAGTCAAGTCAGTGCTTCTGTGTGATGGTTGAGAGACTTGGCGCGTCACGAAAGGGATTTCCAATAAACTACAGACATTCGTCATCAACTGCTTACGCTGTCTCGCTACTGAAGATCAGATGGATTGCCAGAAAGAATAAGCAACAAGGAACTCTGGGAACGAACCAACCAAGAACCTATCACCCAACAAATATGCACTGTAAGGAAGTGGAGATGGATTGGCCATGCACTGAGAAGGCCGACTGGGGACATCACGCCTCAGGCCAGTTGCTCGAGTGGAATCCCCATGGGAAGCGACGAGTTGGACGTCCGAGGGTGACATGAAGGAGGTTGTGCGAGGAAGAAATGAGAGCTTCTGGGCTGTCGTGGAACCAGGTTCAAAAGATCTCAGAGAATGTGCTACTGAAGCCCCCTATGTTCCATTAGGAACCCAAGGGATGAGTCATTAAGAAAAACAAAACAAAAAACAGCAAAATGAACATCATTATTATCTTATCCAATAAATTCATCTTACCGGATGACTACGATCCAAATACAATAGACCATCACTAGCTAATAATTCTCGATCAGCAACATCTAAATCCCATTCATCTGGATTATCATTATGCATATCAATACAAGCATATGGTGGTGATTTTGATAACTTATCAGAATTATCATTAATTGATTGATTATTGATCAACTCATGATTATTATTATTATAATCATTTTGTGTTATAATACTGGATAGATGTGATTCAATTGTTGTCACTGTACCACGATCGAATGATATTGGTGATATACGTTCGACTTCATCATTATAATTAATGATATCTTGTAATTCATCATCATCATCATCAGCAGCATCATTCTCACCATTATTATTACATTGATGATGTAATAATTTATCTAAAGGTTGATCTTTACAATAATCTTCAATACTGATTGATTTAGAAATATTATTAGGTAGATCTATAGATTCTTCGATTAATTCATGTAGGCTATTCACTATTTGTATATTAGCTATAGTAGTAGAAGTAATTTCATTACTATTAATACTACTACTACTACTACAACCATTGCTACCGTGACCACCGCCAACGCTACTTACAACATTATCATCAGGTATTTGAATATCTGATTGGATGATATTATCAGATTGATTCACTTGATGAACAGAATAACTTCCAGCTATATCAGACTGATAAGAAAATAAATGGATAAAAAAAAAAAAAAAACTGTGTACAAATTATAGATACAGAGCAGAATCTTGTCAATAATGCTTAACCGAAGACCCATGTTTCATCATACTTGGGACTAGTAAGCTGGATAGAAAGTTCCTACCTTTCCACTTACACCTTCTACTAAGCTATATTGTTCGCTCCAAAAAGATTAGACAATGAATGGACAATACACGTAACAAAATGACCAGAATCGCATATACATACCACCTGTCAGTCAGACGCTTTATAACCACATCGTCTAAAACATAGTTTCCCCTAATATTATCTTTTACCTCATTACATTAATAATATTATTTATTACTTGTCCTCTGGGCTCCTAATGGAACAGTACCATGTCGCTATCTCACTCTCCTCTCTGCGGTTTTTTTCATCAACCTGGCACCTCTCCATGTCACCCTCCACCCACACATCCAACCTGTTATTTCATAGCTGACTTCCACTCCACGGCCTGGATTCACATGCCACGTGATGGCCCCCAATCAATCTTCTCAGTGTATGTCCAATCAAATCCATCCTCATCTTCCTCTACTGCATACTTGCTGAGCGATATGTTCTCTGTTGGTTAGTTGCCAGCCACTACTGTAACTTCCTCCTTCCTTATTCTCTCTGACCAGCTAATCTCATCCTCATTATCGAGTGAACGTAGGAGAAGACGGCAGTTGTTAATGAATGTTTGTAGTTAGTTGGAAATGTTTTTCATAACTCACCAAGTCTCTCAACCATCACATAGAAGCAAGCAATGACTCACTTGACTGAAATTAGTGTTGAAAATCCGGATGTTGTTGTTTATGCTGAGTGGAGTGGAGTGCAGTACAGTACAGTGCAGTGCAGTGCAGTAGATCTCCACACTGATTCCAGTTTAATCAAGGCCTGTCTTGCTGTCTTTCCGATCGTGGCTTTCACATCCTCTTGTGTGACTGTGCGGCCGCCTATACTTGAAATGATGCTGCCTACGTAGGTGATTGCTATTTGTTATTGTTGTTGTTGTTGTTGGTAGTTGGGTATCTTCATCGCCTCTGTATTCTCGACGTTCACTTGAGGGAAGTCGTGACCTCACTGCCTCATCTCGCCTCTCCTCTCCTCTCCTTCCAACTTGTTAGTTTTCACCTGTACATCTTCGAGTTTGTGCGACACTACACATTGGACATAAATCATCATCGGCGAAATCCAAATATTCTACGGTCTTTTCATCGGTCAAACAGTGAGTGTATGACCATCTTCTCGCTTCTCACATTTGTTTCTTGCATGATCCAGTCCACTCCAGTAGAGTGATGATGATACTCAACCAACAACACCATCACCACCACCAACAACAACAACAAGCTACAATCACCATCAATGGGAGAAAATTAAACGAAGTAACCTCCTTCACCTACCCACATAGACAGCATCCCGCCAACTACACGTGGCGGCACAGGCATAGACGACGACATCAAAATCAGCCACCATCGCAAACACACCAACACACGCCTTCATTAACCTCACACCAGTGTCGACATCTTCTACACTCCACTCACCATAAAGCCTCAACAACATCCAGATTCTCAACACAAATTCAGTCAAGTCAGTGCTATGCTTCCATGTCATGCTTGAGAGACTTTTCGTGTTACGAAAGGTATTTCCAACAAACTACACACATTCATCAACAACTGCCACCTACACTGGCTCATTACTCAACATCAGATCAGATGGCCAGAATAATAAGAATAAGCAAGGAGGAACTCCCGCTGGCTGGCTGGCAACGAACCAACCAACGAAGCAAGAACCTATCACTCAACAAATATGCACTGGAAGGAAGTGGAGATGGATTGGATTGGGCATACACTGAGAAGGCCGACTGGTGACATCACGTACCAGGCCAGTGTCTTGAGTGGAATGGAGATGGGAAACTGGGAGTTTGGCGTGAGAGGTGAGGGTGACATGGAGGAGGAGATGGTGTGTGAGGAAGAAATGAGAGCTTGAGTGCTGTGGCGGAGTCAATTTCAAAAGATCGCAGAGAACAGAATGGAATGGAGACGTGCCACTGAAACCGTACGTTCAAATAGGAACCCAAGGGACAAATAATAATATTATGATAATAAGATCCACTCTCTTTCTGAGTATTATAATTATTATTATTGCCATTATTGTGATTATCATGCCAAGTGATTTCCATTAAGAAGTTCAGTGATGCCTTTGAAGTGAATTGGAAACTGCAGTAGGACCAAGCTTCCCCCCCCCGCCCCATTATAATCGATCATCTTCCTGACTACTGTTGACTCTACTGGAGTGGACTGGATCATGCAAGAAACAAATGTGAGAAGCGAGAAGATGGTCATACACTCACTGTTTGACCGATGAAAAGACCGTAGAATATTTGGATTTCGCCGATGATGATTTATGTCCAATGTGTAGTGTCGCACAAACTCGAAGATGTACAGGTGAAAACTAACAAGTTGGAAGGAGAGGAGAGGAGAGGCGAGATGAGGCAGTGAGGTCACGACTTCCCTCAAGTGAACGTCGAGAATACAGAGGCGATGAAGATACCCAACTACCAACAACAACAACAACAATAACAAATAGCAATCACCTACGTAGGCAGCATCATTTCAAGTATAGGCGGCCGCACAGTCACACAAGAGGATGTGAAAGCCACGATCGGAAAGACAGCAAGACAGGCCTTGATTAAACTGGAATCAGTGTGGAGATCTACTGCACTGCACTGCACTGTACTGTACTGTACTGCACTCCACTCCACTCCACTCCACTCCACTCCACTCCACTCCACTCAGCATAAACAACAACATCCGGATTTTCAACACTAATTTCAGTCAAGTGAGTCATTGCTTGCTTCTATGTGATGGTTGAGAGACTTGGTGAGTTATGAAAAACATTTCCAACTAACTACAAACATTCATTAACAGCTGCCGTCTTCTCCTACGTTCACTCGATAATGAGGATGAGATTAGCTGGTCAGAGAGAATAAGGAAGGAGGAAGTTACAGTAGTGGCTGGCAACTAACCAACAGAGAACATATCGCTCAGCAAGTACGCAGTAGAGGAAAGTGGAGATGGATTTGATTGGATATATACTGAGAAGATTGATTGGGGGCCATCACGTGGCATGTGAATCCAGGCCGTGGAGTGGAAGTCAGCTATGAAATAACAGGTTGGATGTGTGGGTGGAGGGTGACATGGAGAGGTGCGAGGTTGAAGAAAAAAACCGCAGAGAGGAGAGTGAGATGGCGACATGCTACTGAAGCTCTATGTTCCACTAGAAACCTAGAGGAAATAATAAAAAAATTATTATTATTATTATTTATTAATATTATGAAGATGGATGGTGGCTAGCAATGAAATCGAAGATGCGCATAACGTCCTATCTGGAACCTATCAGCTGGATGTACCTGCTTCCTAGTGAGTGAAGTTGTTCCTATCGGGATTCGGACCCGGGAACGATTACTTTGAACGCCTGAGTGTTATTCACTACAACACCTATCCACTATACTATGATATAAAAACAATTTTACTTATCATAAGAATAATAGTTACATTATTCAATAAAAAAGTGATGACCTACTTTATTAATTAAATAATTGAATTGATAGAAGTTGGAAACTGTGAACCGCTGGAAACCGACTGACCTAGTGGATGAATAGTTAACGCATTCGCCGTGAAACCTGAAGGTCGTGAGTTCGACCCCTAGCTAGGTCGTGGGTAAGTACTGCTGAGGAGTCCCATACTAGGACGAAACAGCTATCTAGTGCTCCCAGATTTGCAATGCTTCCGCCAAATGATGTCAGTCCATGATGAATACTACTTCTAAATTAAATAATTATCAAGCATTGCACCTCGTCTTTAGTTCACTCTAACCTTTGTATATGTGTATGTGTGTGTGAGTGTCAGTAGTCACCGTTGATGTTAAGTAAACGGCAATTAATTAATATGAGAAAGACCACTAGTTCATATCATCCCCACAGCCATACAAAAAACTTCTAAAATTACGAATCCTAATGTAAAGTACAATGATTCCTTTAGGGTGAAGGCAAGGCAACATTATATATATATATATATATATATATATATATATATATATATATATATATATAAGGTTGTATAAACCATAAAATAGAGGGAGAAAATATAGTTTACTTATTAATACAAAATATCCAATGTTTTTCCCCCTATCATCCATTTAATTACAATTATAATGAAGTATTTCCAAAAGATAGAAGTGGACAGGTTTCAAGATTCCTATGACCCATAAGCATAAGGTCAATCTTATAAAACATGTGATACTGAGAGATGAAATGAAAATTTCGACCACAGCAGGATACGAACCAATCAATCAATATCAACATACGACCAGGCATTATTGCATAACGGTTCAAGGTGCCACACTTTATCATATCAATACATCAAGTAAGAAGGTAGTGAGGTGAAAGATGAAGATAAGAGAATGTAGTCAAAAGAAATATAAAGTATGAGAAGAAAGAAAAGAGGAATGACAAAATGGTGAGATTCAATATAGCGTCGTTAAGATAGTGATAATGTGTGTATACATCTGTGCCACTCACATCAATTCTCAGCCATGGGATCACCTAGTCTGCATCGCCACACATCGTTAAAACCAACAGGTAAACACTTCATACATTGGTGTCATGTTTTAGTCTGGCCACCTCCACCCTTTTACCAGCCTCAAACTACTTCGGCCAACATTGGGTGATGAGGAAATCGGTGAATAGGCATACGTAGCACGTGTTCCAACCATCCACCTCAATCGATGAAGGTTCATAACCTCGTCAATTGATTTACCTATTCTCCCTCTCTAAAACTCTACACCTCACTTCTGCATTACTCATCTGGTGTGCCGACACCACACAATACGCCATATACTACGACGAAGGCAACGCTGGTCAAACACCTCAAGTCGCCTTCTCATGTTTCCCACCCTCAATGGCCATGTTTCATAGCAAGCCATACAACAGACCAGACCGGATTGCTGTGCAGTACACTCGACCATTAATAGACAAACGGATATCATGGGGGAGCCATAGGTGGCGTAAATTGGCAAAATCCAGCCTTTTGTCTCCGTGCAGAGATTTCATCGGCCACTGAGCTAGCCACCAGGGTTGATCCTACTTCCTAAGTAAGTGAAGTGGCCAACAAACTCAACCACTTCACTCTCTATTGTTAACCGAAGAGGCACCGTTGAAGACCAACATTCCTCACACGGTGATTCTATCAAACATAACAATGTTAACTCAAAAACTGTATGCACACCAGAGTCTTTCAATAGAATTCTACTTCAGTTAACATTCAGATAGGCCATAGCTTAGTGTCAACAACACACAATGATTCCATCATAAGTGAACTTGTGAAATAGTGGAGAATATTTGTAGCTCAGGTGAATGGTGTTGGTTGTATTGTGTTCTCTGAGGAACTGGGTTGTTTAATCGTGAAGCTTTCATAATCCTTCCAGACAGAGAAATCATTGACACTGACTTCAGTATGAAGTCAGCTACATGTCAATAAATATCTCTCCGTGAGTGTTTTACTGTTTCCCTGTTGACTGTCCCTCTGCTTGACCTCTGACCTTTCGGTCGTTTATCATCTTTCTTATTGGTTGATAGATTGGGTCTATATCTAGACATCTCCATAGTTATTATCTACATGCATTGAAATGAGTGATGAAATGTCATGAAGGTTTAACAGCCAATTGGTGTTCTCATGTCGATGAAGGTGAAGAGGCCGATTACTTTGTCCAATGTCACCAATGACTACAGTTAGTTATTCCAGTTGATTTTGTAAATGTTATTCGGTTTATTTTCTTTGGCTGTTGTGTCCCCTTTGATATTTGGAGAGAATTTATTGGTTTATAAGCTACACCAATTCCAAGTGGTATCAGTAATCTTTATGTAGGGGTAAGATAATGCGTTTATTGATTTCTGGATAAGTATCTTCTGATAATTATGGAGATGAATTGGAAATCTCTTTCGTGACGCGCCAAGTCTCTCAACCACCACACAGAAGCACTGACTTGACTGGGTTGGTGTTGAAAATCCGGATGTTGTTCCACATGCTTAGTGCAGTGTAGAAGATCTCCACACTGTTTTCAGGCTAATGAACGCCTGTCTTGCTTTTCCGATTCTGACTTTGACATCCTCGTCTGTCCCTGTGCCGCCGCCTGTAGTTGAAACAGTGCTTCCTAGATAAGTGAAGGAGGTTACTTCCTTTAAGTTTCTCCCGTTGACGGTGATTGGAGTTTGTTGTTGTTGGTGGTGGTGAGGTATCTTCATCACCTCTGTCTTCTCTATATTCACTTGAAGTCCCGTCTTCGCTGCCTCTTCTATCAACTTGTTAGTTTTCACCTGTAGATCTTCAAGTTTATGTGACATCAGGCACAAGTTGGTTTATAAGCTACACCAATTCCAAGTGGTATCAGTAATCTTTATGTAGGGGTAAGATGATGCGTTTATTGATTTCTGGATAAGCATCTTCTGATAATTATGGAGATGAATTCAATTTCGATAATGTAGAAATGTTGGCCAGTGAGAGAGGAAACACAAAGAATGTGATCAGAGAATTTCAAGAAGCTTTGCATTCAGCTCAGCTCACCTCAGTCAGTCAATCAGTAATCAACAGATGTCTAGGTATAGACTCAATCTATCAACCAATAAGAAGGATGATAAATGACACAAAGGTCAGAGGTCAAGCAGAGGGATGGTCAACAGGAAAAAACAGGAAAACACCACCGCAGATATATATATATATTGACAGTCAATGATTTCACTGTCTAAAAGAATTATGAAAGTTTCACAATTAAACAACCCAGTTTTCTTTACAGAAGACAATACAATCAAGTGAACTTATTTATACTTCACAATTAATTTCATGTAAAACATACCTTTAATGAATTATGTATAATTGGATCAACTTGTTTAGAAGATTTTACTTGTTCAAGTGATAATCTTGGTTGTATTTCATTACTAACAGTATTGTACTCATCTTGGATACTAACATCTTCCATCATTGTAAATATATCACCATTATTATCATTACTATTATTATTATTATTATTATTATTATTATTATTATTATTATTATTATTATTATTATTATTATTATTATTAGCAGGAGGAGTAGCTGTAGCCGTATAATTATGTGAATTATTATCAATTACATCATCAATTGTTATTGATGATGAAGATGATGTTGAAGATGATGAAGCTTGACTTGAAGATGATGAAGTTGAAGAAGAATTTCATATGACTATTGTTTGATGATTATCCTGTTTTTCTTTTTTTGAGGGGGTTGTGGAGATTTGGAAATATTTCAAGTTGTTATTCATCGAAGACTGACATCAGTTGGAGGAACAAAGGAAACCTGGGAGCACTGGACAGCTGTTTCGTCCTAGTATGGGACTCCTCAGCAGTGCGCACCCACGACCAAAATTCAATTGAACTGGTGCTCATTGGTGACTAGCTTCGAGAAGTATTCCCGAAGTTCCAATGACAAGTCGTGACCGGTGGAGTCAAAGCCTGATGGCCGTGACGACAGTTACTCAACGATGACATTGGGTGGCGGTTCGCGCTATATCGCGAGATAATAGAAGTTGGAAATATGGAGCATTGGATTCTAACCCAGTGGCTAGCTCAATGGTAACGCGCTGGTCGCGGAACCTGAAGGTCGCGGGTTCGATCCCTGCTGGTGGGGTCGTGGGTGCGCACTGCTGAGGAGTCCCATACTAGGATGAAACAGCTGTCCAGTGCTCCCAGGTTTCCTTTGTTCCTCCAACTGATATCCTGTTTTTGTCTGAAACTGATTTTTATTTATATACTTATATCATAGTAACTACCCGTTAATATCAAATAACTTATTATTGATAGCGATTGTCAGTCAAGTAACCTCTAGACTGATCTTTGTAACAGTTTTTCACTTTAAGATGGAAAGGGATGAATACTTAATCATTTTAGTTTGTTCGTGTTATTTAGTATTTCAGTGTTACATGTACTATAAACTTGACTAGTTACCTTCTACTTGTGTTAAAGTATTTCTTTCTTTTTAGTAGACGCAAGTCAATTATTAAATCATCGTATTATAGAAGTATGAATATGGCAATTGTGCAACAGAGTTAACTTGAAATGATAGTTTAGCAATAGAAAGTATTTTAGATTAAGACAATCATTAGCTATAAATGTGACAATGAAAACTATTCCGAGTATTTAGTTGTAACTATGTAACTATGCAATAATGTACAACACGCAAATGCTTTTAGGTTGTCGTCTAGTATATTATTATTATTGGTCCCTTGGGTTCCTAGTGGAACATAGGGGGCTCCAGTAGCACGTCTCCAGTGATCTCTGTTCTCTGAGATCTTTTCAACCTGGTTCCACGACAGCCCAGAAGCTCTCATTTCTTCCTCGCACAACCTCCTTCATGTCACCCTCACCTTGGACGTCCAACTCGTCGCTTCCCATGGGGATTCCATTCGAGCAACTGGCCTGAGGCGTGATGTCCTCAGTCGGCCTTCTCAGTGCATGCCCAATCCATCTCCACTTCCTCCTGCATATTTGTTTAGTGATAGGTTCTTGCTTCGTTGGTTCGTTCCCAGAGTTCCTTGTTGCTTATTCTTTCTGGCAATCCATCTGATCTTCAGTAGCAAGACAGCGTAGGTGGCAGTTGTTGATGAATGTCTGTAGTTTATTGGAAATCCCTTTTGTAACGCGCCAATTCTCTGAACCATACATATATGAGTACGATTATTGCACGAGGATGGGGAAGAATAGAAAAGCATCCCTATATTCAGTGATGGATGTTTATAAAGCCAGTATGATAATTTGTAGTTTCAGCTAACTATTTCACTGTCTAAAAGAATTATGAAAGTTTCACAATTAAACAACCCAGTTTTCTTTACAGAAGACAATACAATCAAGTGAACTTATTTATACTTCACAATTAATTTCGTGTAAAACATACCTTTAATGAATTATGTATAATTGGATCAACTTGTTTAGAAGATTTTACTTGTTCAAGTGATAATCTTGGTTGTATTTCATTACTAACAGTATTGTACTCATCTTGGATACTAACATCTTCCATCATTGTAAATATATCACCATTATTATCATTATTATTATTATTATTATTATTATTATTATCAGCAGGAGGAGTAGCTGTAGCCGTATAATTATGTGAATTATTATCAATTACATCATCAATTGTTATTGATGATGAAGATGATGTTGAAGATGATGTTGAAGATGATGAAGTTGAAGAAGAATTTGATATGACTATTTTATGATGATTATTAGTAGATATTGAATGAAATAAATCTAATTGACTAGATGAATATGAACTACGTGGTGATGTTGAAGCTGATGAAAAGCTTGATGAAGTATTCGATGAACAATGATCATGATCATGTGATGATGATGATGATGAATTATTCGCCTGTTCAATAACATTTTCAATACATTTTGGTATTATTGATATAATTGAATGATTATTAATTGAATAATTTAATCCAGGCGGTTTTAATGCTGGTGTAGCAGTTGGTCCTGATGAAATATATGCAGGAAATGGTATTGGTAATTCATCCATTATACGAATCTCTTCTAAAATTGATTTTGATGAAGATGATTGATTATTACTACCATTATTATTATTACTACCATTATTATTATTATTATTATTCTCTGAATTATTTACAATAGAATTTTCAATAAGAAATTGATGTGGTCTAGCTGATTGAATACGTTCAATTGGTTGTTGTTGATAGTCATGTTGAACAACAACTTCTGTTAGTATAGATGATTTCATTGATATAATATTATATTCATTTGATTGTAATTGCCATGGTGTATGCATTTTATTCAATGGTTCAGGACGATTTGATGATATTGGAGAAGATTTTTGATATCTTAAATCAGATGATTGACTAACAACTATTGATGATTTCCTTTGATTCGATTGAACTGGTAATACTTGCTGTTGAATGAATGAATGAATGAATGAATAATAAACACAATCTTATTCACATAGTAACAAAATTATGCAATGAGGATCAAAAACTCACTAAAGAGAGAGAGAGAGAATGACATAAACCAAATAGATAACAATAACTTACAAGTGAATGGTTATTAGTAGTGAATCTTGTTAATAGTAGTATGTTGACACAATGAAGACACACACACACAACATATTTGATGATAATAATGCAGTACACTTTATCGGTACTGAACGCATTCAATCTATATGATCTGAAAAGAAGGGAAGGTACCCGTAGATTGGAATAAAGGTTACCTTGTCAAACTTATGAACAAGAGCGATCTAAGTCTTTGCAAGAATTGGCGAGGAATCATGCTGCTGTCCAATCAATCCAAGCGCTCGATTCAGGAAGAACAAATTTCAAAGCTACGCATCACCACAGAACAGAGCATAGAATGCCAGTCAACTCTCGACCTCAAATTCATCCAATTTGAGGTCATCGATAGTGTCGATTGAGAAGTAATTTCCCAACTCTTTCAACATCAAGGAATACTACAAACATCTATCAACTTCATTCAACAACTACAAGTTGGCACAAGAGGCAGCGAAGATGGCACTCCTTTCAAATGAACGTAAAGAAGACAGAGGTAACAACAATACCTAACCACCAACAACAACAAACACCAATCACCATCAATGGGAGAAAATTAAACGAAGTAACCTCTTTCACCTACCCACCTAAGCAGCATCCCTCCAACTACACGTGGCGGCACAAGCACAGACGACAACATCAAAATCAGCCACCATCGCAAACACACCAACACACGCCTTCATTAACCTCACACCAGTGTCGACATCTTCTGCACTCCACTCACCATAAAGCCTCAACAACATCCAGATTCTCAACACAAATTCAGTCAAGTAAGTGCTATGCTTCTATGTGATGGTTGAGAGACTTGTCGTGTTACGAAAAGCATTTCCAACAAACTATATACATTCATCAACAACTGCCACCTACACTGGCTTGTTACTGAAGATGAGATCAGATCAGATGGCCACAATAATAAGAATAAGCAAGGAGGAACTCCCGCTGGCTGGCTGGCTGGCTGGCTGGCTGGCTGGCTGGCTGGCTGGCTGGCTGGCTGGCTGGCTGGCTGGCTGGCTGGCTGGCTGGCTGGCTGGCTGGCTGGCTGGCTGGCTGGCTGGCTGGCTGGCTGGCTGGCTGGCTGGCTGGCAACGAACTAACGAAGCAAGAACCTATCACTCAAGAAATATGCAGTGGAAGGAAGTGGAGATTGATTGGATTGGGAATATACTGAGAATGCCGACTGGTGACATCACGCTCCAGGTCAGGTCGTCGAGTGGAACCCAGATGGGAAACCACGAGTTGGCTGTCTGACATCACGGTGACATCGAGGAGATCGTGTGAGGAAGAAATCAGAGCTTGTGTGCTGTCGTGGAGTCAATTTCAAAAGATTGCAGTGAACGGAATGGAATGGAGACGTGCCACTGAAGCCGTATGTTCCACTACGAACCGAAAGAACAAATAATAATAATGTGATCTGAATGAGATGCGTGATGATCGTGTGGATCTACTACACGCGCAACAGCTATTCGACCTTCAATATGCGAATGATATTGTTCTACTGTGCGACACACACACACATACACACACAAGCTACTGAAATCCCGCTTAGACAGTTGGTGATTCTGGTCTAGGAAAACGCCATGGGCTTCATATCATCAAAGTGCGAAGTACGTTCCCAAGACTAGAAGGAACCTGTGCCTGAGTTCACCCTTGATGGTTAGTCATCAAAAATATTCGATATATCGAAAGCTACAGTGGCATAAACCAATCTCAACCACCTTCAGCACCCTTACGACGTTAGTGTGACCGTTAAAGGTCGAGTTTATAGAAGTTTTTTCTTGGGAGGGGTTGTGCTCTACACTGTTAAAAATTGAACTTTTCAACCTGAGGATGGGCCACGACTCTTCGTGTTTCATCGTCATTGCCTGCGTAGGACTGGCTATATCCGGTGATATCACCACGTAACTCTCAGTTACGACAGCCAATGTTTGGATGTGATGGAGGTTATCATGCAATTAGTAAAGTCATTCCGAAATACAGTTCAGCATGCAGAACAAGAACCAGTGTATGCCCAATCCATCTCCACTTCCTTCTACTACATATTTGTTGGGAGATGGGTTCTTGGTTGGTTCGTTGCTTATTCTTATCATTCTGGCCATCTCATCTGATCTCATCTTCAGTATCGAACCAGTGTACGTGGCAGTTGTTGATGAATGTCTGTAGTTTATTGGAAACGCCTTTCGTAACACGACAAGTCACTCAACCATCACATAGAAGCATAGCACTGACTTGACTGAATTTGTGTTGAGAATCTGGATGTTGTTCAGGCTTTACGCTGAGTGGAGTGCAGATGTCGACACTGGTTTCAGGTTAATGAGGGCGTGTCTTGCTGTCTTTGCGATCGTTTCTGGCTTTGACGTCCTCGTCTGTGCTTGTGCCGCCACCTGTAGTCGAAACAGTGCTGCCTAGGTGGGTAGGTGAAAGAGGTTACTTCGTTTAATTTTCTCCCATTGATGGTGATTGTAGCTTGTTGTTGTTCGTGGTGGTGGTGGTGGTTGAGTATCATCATCACCTCTGTCTTCTCTATATTCACTTGAAGTCCCCTCTTCACTGTCCTGCATCTTCTGTCAACTTGTTAGTTTTCATCTGCAGATCTTCAAGTTTGTGTGTCATCAGCAAAATCCAAATCTTCGAGGTTGTTTTCCGCGGTCCAGCATATCTCTCTCTTCTCGTTCCTCACTGATTGTTGTATGATCCAGTGGACTACAATCAGGAATTTTATGGGTGATAGTAGGCGGAAGCCTTGTTTCACTCCAGTCTTCACTTCAAAGGCGTCACTGATCTTTCCATTGTGAATTACTTGGCATAAAGGAAAAATAATAATAATAATAACACATTCAGAAACAGAGATTTTCACACCGTTCATTGTTTGTTAGCCTTATGGGACTGAATGGAAAATGTGGAAGAGCGGTCAGTGTATGACTTGGCGTCGTGGGATGAAGCACACTTGTAATGGGTCCACCATGCCTCCTTGAGATGGGGTCTGAGGGATCACAGAACTCAGTAAATTGAGACTTTATCAGATATGGCTGAGAATTGAAACCAGTGACACGGATGAATAAATCCATAAAGATGCATAGTATCCCCCATGACCTCTAACAACATACTACTAATATGATTATCATTCGTATCTCACATGCATTTATTAGAATAACTACATTAAGACAAATAATTAAAAAAAAACTATTAAATATATAGTTATATAAAGAATTATGCAGTATGCAACCAATCATTGAACATTAAGCACATGACTTTGGACTGATTTGCATGCTTTCTGATGAACACAACATCAGTGATAATAATATGTGCATAGAGATCAGATGATCAAATTACGACGCTACGCTACACATCATCATACAATAGACCGTACAATGCCAGTCAACTCTCTACCTCAACCAACAAGCAATTTGTCAGGCAGCTGCTTCAACACTACGGAATACCAGAAACCTTTATCAACTTCATTCAACACCTATATCAAGACGCCACATACCAAGTAATTCACAATGGAAAGATCAGTGACGCCTTTGAAGTGAAGAGTGAAACAAGGCTTCTGCCTACTATCACCCATGATATTCCTGATTGCAGTGGACTGGATCATACAACAATCAGTGAGGAACGAGAAGAGAGAGATATGCTGGACCGCGGAAAACAACCTCGAAGATTTGGATTTTGCTGATGACACACAAACTTGAAGATCTGCAGATGAAAACTAACAAGTTGACAGAAGATGCAGGACAGTGAAGAGGGGACTTCAAGTGAATATAGAGAAGACAGAGGTGATGATGATACTCAACCACCACCACCACCACGAACAACAACAAGCTACAATCACCATCAATGGGAGAAAATTAAACGAAGTAACCTCTTTCACCTACCCACCTAGGCAGCACTGTTTCGACTACAGGTGGCGGCACAAGCACAGACGACGACATCAAAATCAGCCACCATCGCAAACACACCAACACACGCCTTCATTAACCTCAAACCAGTGTCGACATCTTCTGCACTCCACTCAGCATAAAGCCTGAACAACATCCAGATTCTCAACACAAATTCAGTCAAGTCAGTGCTATGCTTCTATGTGATGGTTGAGTGACTTGTCGTGTTACGAAAGGCGTTTCCAATAAACTACAGACATTCATCAACAACTGCCACGTACACTGGTTCGATACTGAAGATGAGATCAGATCAGATGGCCAGAAGTGGATGTGTATTGAGCATAGACTGAGAAGGCCGACTGAGGACATCACGCTCCAAGCCAGGCACTCGAGTGGAACCCAGATGGAAAACAGCGAGTTATTCGTCCAAGGGTGACCACATGAAGGAGATCGTATGAGGAACAAATGAAAGCTTCTGAGCAGTCGCGAATTCATGTTAAAGAAAACGACTGCAGAGAACAAAGTGAAATAGCAGTGTGCTACTGAAGCATTATGTTCCACTAGGAACTCAAGGGACAAATGATAACAATAATAATAAAAACAATAGGTTTTGATTGAAGCGAACTTGTATATATCGAACTGTATTTCATGAGCAAATCTGGAACTACCTAATCACCATCAGGTCGATGATAGTCATTTATTGTTGAGTTAAGTTCATTAACTGACTGACTGACTGACTGACTGACTGACTGACTGACTGACTGACTGACTGACTGACTGACTGACTGACTGACTGACTGACTGACTGACTGACTGACTGACTGACTGACTGACTGTGACGAAATCCATATAGAATTTCACACATAGGTGAACCGATATGAGTTACAGCCGAAAGTTTGAAGATTCTATTCCTAGCACTTACTAACCCAATACTGAGGTATCTTCAGTCAGAAAGCGAACAACTGATATTTCATATTCTAGAAGGAAATAAGATCTAAACGATAATAAAAGACAACAAACTATATGATTCCTATCCTCTAATACATCTGTGAAACATGACTGTTGAAAGTAAAAGAAATTGAAGCGATTACAAGTATTTGGTCATATATGTCATCGTAGCACTGCTCCCGTTTGATGAAATAACCGTGTGAGCAACGTTGAGGTTAGGTGGTCGGTACTGGATAAGACAGGCAAGTTGAATGATGAGGTTATGAACCTACATCGAGTGAGATGGCTTCGATATGCAGAGAGTACGCCAATCTACCACCTATTTTGACCCACCATGCAAGAGGAATTCGCATAAAGTTGAAAGAGGGTTCAGGATTGCCCGATCAAGTCATTACTGTTGACATGAACCGTGTGCGGGGTCCCTGAGACGATTGGAATCAGTAGTTGAGAAATCTTGGTGAAATAATAATAATAAAACCGACCACAGTGGCACAGATGTAATCGTGCTTTGACATCTTTTAAAGCTTGAATATTCGTACTAACCTTTATCATCAAAATGATTTCGTTCTTACCAGCACTCATCAGTAAAGGGTATCTACAAAGTTCAGGAGACCTATATCCCGCTGAAAATCCAAACGCGTGTCACCCAGTAGAAGACGTTATTACTAAGCAGTTATAAGTCATCATTGTTCTCCTCTAAGACAAGATTTTGTAGACTGACCGGTCATTTTACTTGAGAGGCAACTAACTTTGTGTATCAGTTACCAAGATGAAAAAAGTAGCACTAGTGTACCAATAACATGCATAATGTATATCCACATAATCCTACTGCTTTATGCTGGAATCTGTGAAATGTTGTAGAATTAAAGAGAGATATAGGTATATAACACATAAGCAACAGGCATAATCATGCTAAATAGACAGACTCCAAGACGAATTACAGTCAAATGAGAGTGAAAAAAGTGACTGATTGAATATGATTCTAAAATGAAATATGGAGGAGTGATTAGAGATCATGAAAGTGATGGTAAACTATGCAAGCCAGTCATTTATGGTTTCCTCTATAATTTTGGAGGGAGTTGAGACAATCTGAGGTGACAACACAGAACTCCAGATCAACACAACACAACAACAAACTCTACAGTCGACTATACACCAATTCCACAATCATACAGTCATCTTTTACACACTCATTACATATATTTCACAAGTTAATGCTTCTATCTTACACTCGATCACAAATTCAAGCTAGCAATACAGTCAACCGAGTGATTAATAATACATTCTACCTAGCTACATCACACTCAGACAGACAGACAGACAGACAGACAGATAGGCAGACATTAGCATGCGCACACACGGGTGTACACTGACAAGAATACGCAAGCGATACTTTTCGACCAAGATGTACTCACTTGTATATCCATTTTGCAGAGAATAAAGTTATGTCAGTCAACTGGATTGTGTGTATATGAAGGATAAGAGTACAATTGTGTGACACGAGACTTAACCTGATCAAATTTTGAGTATGAAGAAACAAAGCATAAGTTAACGATGTCAGCAAGGGGTGAAGAGGCAGCCAGAGTGAAGAGCAGTGAATGAGGTTGTGAGATTGGCGATCTAGTGGTATAGCGATAGGCAGACATGTAAGAAATGGCAAAGGATGAAACACAGAAGGGAGTTTACTATGATGACATTTTGTACATTACTTATGAGATATTGTAACCATTCCATTGAAATATCCTCCACTTCCTCAATCATTTCCTTTTGCTGTTGATACGCCTATCTGATATTTCACGTTTTTCTGTGCAGAATATTCACACATCTTTCGTAACTGCCTATAACTTCTTCCCACCTCTCGACATATACTACTTATATGCGTTCTCATCAGTAGCACCCATGACAGTAGTAGTAGTAGTAGTAGTAGTAGCGCACAGAAAATGGGATCAGTGCCAGGGAAAACATTGTGACAGGTGTAACCAACATGCCATTTTACAGTGTGGATACATATATACACACACGCATACAGAGGACAACCAAAGATATGCACAACAGTGAGAAAAACAATTCAGTAAAGAGACAGGCTATGAATTATGCTGGTGTTTAGGTTGCTTGTGATTAAAACAAACAATAACAGACGATCAATGATTCAATTATTCAACAACAATAACGAAAAAGAGTGAGAAGAGAGACAACACGCATCAGTAGACATTCAGTATACACACACACACACAGCACATAATATATGTATGTAATTACATATAGAGTATTACACAAGAGAGAGATCAGATATACAGATGGGAACTGGCGTACGCGTCTACTCGCTCAATCACTCAGTAATCATACGTACACACACATACACATACATACATATATTCACTTACGTTTCGATATTGCACAAGTGTGCGATCCTAAAATTCAGAGAGATCACATTCATATTCACGCATATATACATTGGTAATTGAAGTAAACATCGCCGAATTGAAGTTATTCACTGGATGATAAGTATTATGAGGTGAGATTCTGTTCGAACCAGTGTCACCGACGCACGTTACCACTGAGCTATCTGGGTCACGATTGATCTCCAGTAGGACCATAGGAGGTACACTAATTAGTCAGATCAGATCATCAGTGACTGACTGACTAACTAGTTTTCCTTTCTAACACCCAGCATACAAAATGAAATCATCAACGTATATCAGAAAAGAGACACTGGGACTAAGTATAGTGGTGATGAGGATAATGTGTGTGGGGATACATCTGCACCACTGACATCAACTCTGGGCCATTTTACCACCTAGAGTTTCCAACCACTGGTTTCTCTTGTCCCATAGATGCCGAACGGATATTCTGCATCGTCCTATATCGCTCAAAACAGCTGTCAACGACTTCATACATTGGTGCCATGTTTCAGTCTGGCCACCTCGAGCCTTTTTTCAACCTGTGCCTACTTCGACCAACATTGTGTGATGAGGTAGACGGTGGTTAGGTCTATGTGACATGTGTCCCAGCAAGCTATCTCACTCGATGAAGATTCACAACCATGTCAACTGATTTATCTCTCCTATCTAAAACTTTACGTCTGAATTCTGCCTTACTCGCGTGGTGACACCACGGAATACGGACGATGCTACAAAGGCAACTATGGTCAAACACCTGAAGCCTTCTCATATCCTCGTGGCCATGTTTCACAACCATACAGTAGAACAGACCGGACTGATGTGCAGTACACGCGACCCTTAATAGATAATCGGATATCGCAGCAGCTCCACAGATGGCGTAAGCTGGCAAAACAGAGATTTCTTTGACCACTGACCACCAAATACACCACGGCTGATCCAACCTCCCACACAAGTGAAGTTGTCAACGCGCTCAACCACTTCACTCTCTATTTTTAGCCGTGGCACCGTTGAAGACTAGTACATATAGCAACAATTTCTATTTGGATGGCGAGAAATTCATCTCTAACATTCTCAAATTGCCACTCAAGAATTGGGGAAGGGAAACAGAAATATCAGTACAACTTTCCATGGGGGGAACAAATTTTCTTTCCCCCTCCTATAATGCCTTTGTATCCAACCATGATGTTGATCAAGTTCTCAAAAAGAAAAAAACCAAAGACTTCAGTAAACCACTTCACTTTCGGTGACATTCAGTAGTGTGTTCATTTATAGATAGTGACAGCCAATCACATGCCAGTGTGTACTGACCAATCAGAATCGAGAACATGTAAGCCAATAAAATTATCAGGAAAAGTGGTACTTTATTTACAGATCAGGTGGGCTTCATTTCATGGATAAACAAGGCCTCTGCTATTTTTAGAAGTTGATGATAGTGGAAAAGTGAGATGTTTCAGTGAATTTGATAGACAACCTTAAAATTATTGTCAGCGGTTGATTGAATGATTGGAATCGACTCAATGAACAAGGATAGAACTTCTGATCCATCTACTTTCTCATCTTGGTGAAACTAGGCAGGAATATGTTCTAGTATACATGTTGACAGTAATCTCTGACTACTACATGGATATGGCCTATCTTTAACACCCAAACGGAGAAGAACTTATAAAAGTCTTACCAATTGATCTAAAATGATGATTTTTCAGGATATCCGATGCTGCGTAGATATTTCAGATTCATGAGTAAAGTAGTTGTTTTAAAAACTGAGTTGATAACTCGAACATATAGCTGATTCCAACTATTTAACAACAGAGGTCCTGGTTATCCATGAACTGAAACCAATTCGACCTTTGTGTTTAAAACAAGTGTACATATAGTGTAGTCTTTGTCTTGGACTTTACATATTTTCGCCGTGGTGTCCATTGTCTCATCTATGTGGGATTATATCAATTATTTCTCACCATTCAATTAAAGATCTTCAGGACTTTTTCAACGGCGGCTTCCAAAAATTCTCAAGACTGTTTGTATATACTGCAGTTGTCTAATCACGAAGTGTTTCTTGTTACATAATAGATTATAATTGGGGATAACCCATATCAGATGAAGGCATATATAACTTCCAAGCATCTGTGTATCTTATGATACACAATATCACCTATACTTTTCTATAACTGCCAGTATAGATTTCTCGGATTTACCATTTCTGTGTATTTCAGACATTTATAACAAAAATCTATGATTTGCCAAACCATGCTGGATTCAAGAAGAACAAATCATGTGCCGATCAAATTGAAACGCTACGTTATGCTACGCATCATCATCGAATGGAGCATACAATGCCAGTCAACTCTCTACCTCAATTTCATCCACTTTGAGAACACCTTCGACAGCCTCGACCGACAAGTAATTTGACAGTCACCTTCTTCAACACTAAACTCTCACTACCACAAACCTTTATCAACCTCATTCAACAGCACCTATATCCTATACGACGATCCTACATCCCAAGTGATTCACAATCGACGGCTCAGTGATGCCTTGGGAGTGAAGTGAAGTGGAGACACGAAGGAGTAAGACAAGGTTGCCAACTACTATCACCCATCATCTTCCTCAGTGTGGTCGACTCGACTCGACTCGACTGAACTGGACCACCCAAGAAACAAATGTGAGAAGCGAGAAGATAGGCATACATTGTTTGACCAATGAAAAGACTGTAGATAATTTGTATTTCGCAGATGACGATTTATGTCTAATGTGTAGTGTCGCACAAACTCGAAGATCTACAGGTGAAAGCCAACAAGTTGACAGAAAAGGCAGGGAAGACGGGACTCCTTTCAGGTGAATGTATAGAAGACAGAGGTGATGAAGATACCCAACCAACAACAGCAACAACAACAAACACCAATCACGGTGAATGGGAGAAATCTGAAGGAAGTTGCCTCTTTCACCTACCCACCAACCTAGGCAGCATCGTTTCAACTATAGGCGGTGGCCCAGTCACAGATGAGGATGTCAAACCTAGCATCGGGAAAGCAAGGAAAGGCAGGACTCCATCAATTTCAAATCAGTGTGCAGATTTACTACACCACACTCCACTCAGTATAAACAACAAGATCTGGATTTTCGACAGTAAGTCAATTAAGTCAGTGCTTGTTTCTACCTGGTTGAAAGACTTGGCAGGTTATGAAGAGCATTTCCAACAAACTGTAGACATACATGAAGAGCTGCCATCTACGCTTATCCCATATTGAAGATCAGTGCAGATGAGATGGTCAGAAAGAATAAGCAAGGAGGAACTCACTGTTGCTGGCAACGAACCAATCAGGAAGAAGGAAGTGGAGGTGGATTAGATTGGACGTCATGCTCCAGGTCAAGCTGTTGAATGGAATGCAGTTGGGTAAGGACGAGATAGGCGTCTGGGGGTGACATAGAAGAGATCGTGTGGTGAAGAAATGCAAGCTTCTAGGCAGTCGTGGAACCAGGTTGAAAAGACTGTAGATCAGAGAATGAAATGCCGACATGCTACTGAAGCTCTATGTACCACTAAGAACCCAAAGGACAAATATTAATAGTCATAGTACAATTCAGTTTTCTATTTGCAAACTTGAGTACAGTTTACACAGGTCACCGAAACTTACATTCAACATTACTAGGAACCATGCTAACGTGTTGTTGATGGTATAGAATAGACTAACAGGACCGTAGTAAAAGTTACCCAATATACGAAGTCATCGAAACCCGTAGTCACAACTCAGTCCATCTACAGACTCTAAAGCAACTTTCCAGGTATTACTATTCATTAACATACTTGTTATTCTCTGTTGTTTGTTATGTTGGATCGAATTGTTCGACATCTATTGGTATATGGGCTCCTATGCGGATACCTCGATATTGCCTGAACGTTAATTATGATAAATTGGTTGGTTGTGGCTGGCAAAGAATTCAGGACGTGCGTTTCATCCTATTTTGGGACTAGTCAGCTGGATGCGCCTCCACTCCAGTGATATTGTTCTCACTGGGACTCGACCCTCGTACCCATTTTCTAGGTATAGAAAAAAAAATCACTCTGAGCCTCATTCCCTGAAATTGAATGACAAGTCATAACAGGTGGATGAGACGATTGTATAGGATGGAAGCTGCAGTGAATGTCATCAACTAATCGAAGTAGGTCAAAATACACCATTGGAATCCGACTTTTAATTATTCAATGGTGGTAAAAGGTTGGCCATTGAACCTTAAGGCTTTGGATTCAATCTCTGAAAATGTCTATACACTACCACGAAACAAAAAAAATCTTCAGCTTACTTTATACTCTTCTGTAGAAGTTTGTACAGGTGACTTCATCGCTGCCATAGGATAATCAGGTCGACCAACCAATAAAGCAGAATATTCTTGTTGTTGTTGTTGTCCTTCAGTTTTCTGTTGATTTATCAATGTTGAACGACTATTGTTAACAATATTTGGATTACGATTCGTCTCTAATAATTTTAAAGTTAACAATCTAGTCAAATGTGGCTGATTGACAAACTCATGCTGTATAGAAGAAGAGAAAAAAAGAAGAACACAAACAAAATAATTATCTTCAATAAATAATTAATCAATTTGGTTGCCAGTCCCTTAATAGACAAGCACAGACTTTATCGAAGAGTAACAATCAATCAACAATCAACATAGGACCAGGCATTACTGCGTAACAGTCCGAGTTGCCACACCTCACATCACTACATCAAGTAGAAAGGTAGTGAGGTGAAAGATGAAGATAAGAGAATGTAGTCAAAAGAAATATGAAGTATGAGAAGAAAGAAAAGAGGAATGATAAAATGGTGAGATCCGATATAGCGTCATTAAGATGACGGTAATGTATGTATATATATGCGCCACTCACATCAGTTCTGAGCCATGGGATCACTTACAGTCTCCAACCACTGGTTCTTCTTGTCCCGCAAACCCCAACAACCTAGTCTACAAACACGTAAACGCTTCATACATTGGTACCATATTTCAGTCTGGCCACCTCCACCCTTTTGCCAGCCTCAAACTACTTCGGCCAACACTGGGTGACGAGGAAATCGGTGACTGCGCATGCCAAGTACGTGTAACAACCATCCACCTCAATCGATGAAGGTTCATAACATCGTCAATTGATTTACCTATTCTCCCTCTCTAAAACTCTACACCTCACTTCTACATTACTCACCTGGTGTGCTGACACCACACAATACGCCATATAAAATACGACGAAGGCAACGGTGGTCAAACACCTCAAGCCGCCTTCTCATATTTCCCACCTTCAATGGCCATGTTTCACAGCAAGCCATACAACAGACCAGATCGGATTGCTGTGCAGTACACGCGACCATTAATAGACAATCGGATATCATGGCGGAGCCATAGGTGGCGTAAATTGGCAAAATCTAGCCAATCTAACCTTTTGTCTCCGTGCAGAGATTTCATCGGCCAGTGACCCACCAGGGTTGATCCTACTTCCTAAGTAAGTGAAGTGGTCAACACACTCAACCACTTCACTCTCTATTGTTAACCGAAGAGGCACCAACCCTGGATTAACAGTTTGCATTTCGGTGGTGAGAACCGCATCCCAAATATTCTCAAATTCCCACTCAAAGTGTTCACAAGATTCTGCATCTCATCAGTCAGCGTCTTTACTTAACAGGACTATGTCATCTACATATTCTAGGTCTTACGAAAATTCTCCACGGATTAGGTCAACGTCTGTGTAACTAGGTGACGAGAGGGAGACCTCCATAAGAATATGTATGATGAAATTGAATAAGAATGGAGACAGTGGGCACCCTTGACGGACACCACTCGATGAGCATAGCTCCCTGGACAACGCACCATAGGGTCTAACATGCCCACGAAGAGAAACACAATGGAATATGTTGTCACAACTTTAAAAATTATTACCCATTATTCAACATGGTTAGGGATTCAAACTAATGGTAGCAAAGTAGACAAATTCGTGTGACAGAGTAAACAATTTGAACATAATGCAGATACATCTGTGCCATTGTGACCGTTTTTAGCCCGATCATCACTGATGCCTATTGTCCAGGAGATCCCAACAACGTAGTATACATCTCCCTCACATGGCTCAGGCCAACAGTCAAGGACTTCATCAACTGCTTCTTGAACGCTTTTCTATCCTAATCCAATTTCCACTAGTATGGTACATGGAGTTAGGCGATGGCTTGACATGCACAGTACATGTCCAAGCCATCTCAGTCGAGACTAAGGTTCAATCAACTTGCCTATTTTGCCAAGTACCCTTCACCTGACTTCGATATTGCTCACCAAGACACCTATGGTCGAAAAACTGTAAACCTTTAACAACGATGTCTCACAGCGAAACATCAGCACAGAACAGTCTGTAGTGTTGTATACTAGTCCTTTGATAGATAGCCGAATATTGCACCTTACCTTCTGTCTCTCTACTGAGATTTTGTCAGTAACCAAGTAAGTGAACTGGTCGACAAATCTCACTACTTTACTCCTTATCATTAAACTGGGAGTAGATGAACACCTACTGGAGACCAAGAAGGATGATTCGTCCTTAATTCGCCACCTTAATTAGCGAGTCTTGTGACCATAGTCGCTTAAGAATTGTGTTCATGTTATTAAAACCTTTCCCCCATTTGTGATACCAATTTGAATGACTTTCATAAGTTCATTGATTTCGATAAGAAAGATGTTGTCGAAGCCAGTAATAAAGAGAAAGGCTTAACGTTTATTTCAAATTAGTCATCCTAATCAAGACGATTTTTGTACACTTCGACAATAATCAGTACTTAAGGGTATACATGAATATTTACTCTTCAATCAACATCTCTTCACCTTCTCTCAAAAATCCAATTGCCTATAATCACCTGATTAGTGAATATGGATAGATAATCTAGACATAATGAAAGGCTATTATGATATAAAAAACAATGTAGAAATCATCTTCTCTTCATATGAATCACAGTTTTGAATAACATTTTCTCATTTTATCTGTCTTTCTACCATCTCCTATCATGATGTCATCATCAACATAGAACATCAGAGATATATACTACTAGACAAAATGAGTAGTTGGTAAGTGTTCTCATTGATTCTCAGTTCTTTTGTTTATTTACCGTTAGGTTAATTATTCTATGAATCGATATGAATGGAGATCAGGTTTTATAAGACAATAACAACTTTATGATGAGATGAGAAGTATAATGATATCTGGATTGGATGTAATCACCTTGAACCAACTGGAATCAAGCAATAAACTTTATCCTCTGAACACACACACACACATCATCATCATCAAGAAGGCATTGCCTCAGTCTGTACCACAAAAATCATCCTAGACAACCAATTATTGCTCTGTATTTTATGAACATCTAACTTCCTAGCCGAAATATCAAAATCTGATTGGCTGTTCCAATAAACGATATAATACTCACGTTAAACTGATGCATAAAAGCCATCAACTTCAACCTGTGACAAATACAGAAGATGGAAGCTGGATGTAAGAGTTTATTCATCCCACAACGAATTATCATTAAATCGAAGGAGAAGACAAAACAGAAGCTGTCAAAATCTTGTACTAATGAGTCTCATGTTATCTCATTCCCAATTAATCCAGATAAATAGGTGACTAATGTATTGTCTATTCAACTTTCAACCTGTGAGAAGGAAGCGCTTCTCCTTGGATTCAGTTTTTCGGTTCCCTATACGAAAGTTCCGGATTTGGCTATTGATGCCCAGTTTGAAAGTCGTTATAATCAGTTATTTCTCCTTGTTCCAACCTCCTCAGATAATCAGAGTTGGTTGAAGGCTAAGCTAGTGGATATTGCTCATCAGTTCCATAGTTCAGGTCCAAGACAGCGAAGTATCATCACTTCACAACATTTCAAAGCCCTAGAAGGACTTAGAAATAGATCTGATATTATCATTCTCAAACCCGCTAAAGAGTAGGGTATGGTTGTGATGGACAAATGTGATTACAAAAACAAGATGATGTCCATCTTTAGGGATGAAAGTAAATTTATGGCTAATAATCCATCAGACGACCTTAGAAAACTACAATACAAAGTTACATCTAGTCTGATAAAACTCTTGAATATCAATGTTATCACCAAGGAAGAATTTGCTTCCCTCAAACCAATGGGGTCTGAGCTACCTAATCTGTATGGATTGCCTAAAATTCATAAAACAGATAATCTTTTACGTTCTATACTCTCCATGTTTCGTTCACCTATACTACTTATTTATTAATGTACTCCTAATTAAAACCATTGACATTCCTTGTGACCATGTATCTTTCAGTAATCCTTCTTTCCCTATCCCCTCAACGTGTGTGTACTGATTAAGTTTCTTTCACATATGAAGGTGGCTATAGGAAGACTCTTAGGACCATTGCTGGCTGATATTGACATGTCACACATTAAAGGTTTGACCGGAGATCTCATCACTAAAGTTACTCTCTATAAGCGATATGTTGATGATAAAATCCTGATATGTGATAAGCATGAAGATGCGACATGTTTGTGAGAAAGACTTAACAACATACAAAACAACATAAACCTGACGTGTGAAGTAAAAGAATGAAAACTGTCTGCCATTCTTGGATATACTCCTAAGTCGTAGAAATGATAGCCCAGTAAACAGCTTCTTACATAATTGATATTTTGTATAATGGTAAGTAAGCAGGCGAAAACTAACAAGTTGACAGAAGAGGCAGGGCAGCAAAGACGGGACTTTAAGTGAACGTAGAGAAGACACAGGTGATGATGATACTCAACCAACAACACCAACACCAACAACAAGCACCAAACACCATCAACAGGAGGAACCTAAAGGAAATAGCCTCCTTCACCTACCCACATAGGCACCACTGTCTCGACTACAGGTGGTGACACAGGCACAGACGACGACATCAAGATCAGCCACCATCGCAAACACACCAACACACACGCCTTCATTAACCTAAAACCAGTGTCGACATCTTCTACACTCCACTCACCATAAAGCCTCAACAACATCCAGATTCTCAACACCAATTCAGTCAAGTCAGTGCTATGCTTCTATGTCATGCTTGAGAGACTTGTCGTGTTACCGAAAGCATTTCCAACAAACTACACACATTCATCAACAACTGCCACCTACACTGGCTCGTTACTCACGATGAGATCAGATCAGATGGCCACAATAATAAGAATAAGCAAGGAGGAACTCCCGTTGGCTGACTGGCTGGCAATCAACCAACCAACGAAGCAAGAACCTATCACTCAACAAATATGCACTGGAAGGAAGTGGAGATTGATTGGATTGAGCACACACTGAGAAGGCTGACTGGTGACATCACGTGCCAGGCCAGTGTCTCGAGTGGAATGGAGATGGGAAACTGGGAGTTTGGCGTGAGAGGTGAGGGTGACATGGAGGAGGAGATGGTGTATGAGGAATAAATGAGAGCTTGTGGGCTGTGGTGGAGTTAGGTTCAAAGGTTTTCAGAGAACGGAATGGAATGGAGACGTGCTACTGAA